CGACAGCCGCTGGGAACTCCGCCGCCATGATGAGGAGCGTGAGTAGCTCGGCGAGCGCGGCCGCCTTCGCGTTCGGGGGGTACGTGAAGGCGTCGGTCCGCGCGATGAGGCCGAGGACGATGGCTCTCTTGGTGGCGTTCGGAGCGAAACTGCGGAAGTGCATGTACGGTGGGTATTGGAGGTCGTCCGAGTAGGACCCATGATCGAGGGACGCCGGCCGTACCGAGACTCTCCCACATGAATCGAGGGAAAGCCGCATGCCCGTGATGACATCGCCGCCGTCTGTCTCACTCGGGAGCGGGTAGCGTAAAGACGGCCAGGAAGCAATGTGATCCGCTACGCGACGGAGAGACGCAGGTGGCGTGTTTACCGAGGCCTTCCATAGGCATATGTAGTCGTCCATGTACCAGGACTCGAGGATGAGGATGCGGACACCCTCGACGACGTAATACCGGACTCTGGAGCGAGCAGGCGGCGGGAGGCCGCGCCCACTGTAGAGGGAGGCGTGGAACACGACGTCGCAGTAGATAAGCACCATACGGGTGAGGGCTCCGGCCAAAGAGCTGCCCATTGCGAGTCCGTCGGTGGCACGACCGACGAGCGTGCCCACCGCGAGCCAGAGGTTCGCGAGGCTGTGCTCGATGGCAGCGGAGAGGTCCGCTGGCCGGAAGACCACGTGGAGGGGCGAGGCCCTGGGCGGCTCGAACGGCAGGGTTCGTGCGAATCCGCGCCGGCACGGGGCGGCGATGGCCGAGATGTCCCGTGCAGCCAGGACCTCCTGGTAGAAGGCCCAAGCCCGGCGTACAAGGCAGTGTGGGATGTTCGTGAAGCAGTCGGTGAGGTCGCTCCCGTACTTCTGCACGGGCCCGTGGGGGGCCAGTTCGCTGAAGCGCTCGAGCAACGGCAGCAGCGAGTCGGTGCGCTGCGCGTCGATGTGGAGGTGCTCAGGGATGCCTGTGCCGGTGATCCAATCGATTGCTCGTGCTGCTGGCGACTCGAGGCCCTGTGTCGGCCAGTGCGAACGGTCCACGAGCGGTCGTCGGCTGTCTGGTTTTTCTCGTTTCTTGTTTGGGGCCGACGCCGACGCCATGCGCCAATGGCGAGGGTTAGACAGGCGAGCGGGTTGGAGATCGGCCCCGAGGCCAGGGACGGAGGCCACCTGCTGGAGTACGGCTTCGGCTGTCAAGCCCGGGTGGTGCACGAAGTGCGGGTTCTGCCCCGTGATGCCGAACAGGGCCGTGCAGAGCAACTGCACTCGGCGGGGACACTCAGCTACGAGCACGTGCTTGGTCTTGTGAAATTCTTCGACGACGAGGCCGCGTGTGAGTGACCGGCCAGCGCGAATGACCGACTCCGGTACGGGGTCGAAGTCCAACGGGAGGTGCGGCGCGTCGAAGTCGAAGGCAATGCTGGATACCACGTCGTGGACGCAGCAGTCGATGAAGGCCGCCGAACAGTCGAGCCGTAGCGCAGCCACGCGGCGCCGGAGCAGGCGGCGGCATGCGGCAGTGTACCGCGCCTGGGATGGCACGAGTGCTGTGTGCGCTGGCAGGGTGCGCAGGTGCGAGAGGTGAGCGGGCCAGTGCCATGTGTCCTGTGGGGCGAATATGTGGCACTCGCCGTCGGGGGACGGGTAGCGGGGGAGGTCCGGATGCATGTGGCATGCACACGGCCATGGCCTACTATCCGCAAGACGGCGGTAGAAGCTGGGGGCATTACGCAAGCCGGCCCGGAGCGTAATGACGGCCACTGGCGAAAGCATGACCTTGAGGTCGCGAATGGCCGGCAGCAGCAAGGTCTGGCCACGTTCCCGGGCATGTTGGATGAGGCGGTGGATGATGCCCTGGAACGCGCGTTTGGTGCCAGAGTGCGGCAGCCATGGGAGAGCGCCCTGCGCGTGGAGGCGCGGCCGGGGCCAGCGACGGAAGCGGCGAACGGACTCGAGGGCCTTGAGCCCGATGGCGCGGGTGGTGCCCTCATGCCGCTTGTGGACGCGGTGCCAGACTGCGTGCCACTCCTTTGCCGTAAGCCGGTGCAAATCAGCGTGGCCAGGGCGGACGTCGTCATCCGCCAAGGTGTTGCATGCGATGTGGGCCCAGCGAGTGATTGGCGTGGATGGTGGGCCGGACAAGGCGAGGAGGCATGCCGACGCGGATGGTTCTCGCGAGGTCATGGCCTGTCCGTGCCGACGGGGCTAGGAGATCCTCGCCGGTGGTGTCGGGGCCGCAGCCGTGAGGCACAACCTTTCGCGTGCCGGGTGTGGCCCATTGCCTGGCAAGGCAAAATGGTGGACGTAGGGCACGTTGAGCCGCGGGTGCTCGGAGGCGATGACGTGCTGCTCGAGGGTGAAGGCTTCCGCGTCGCTGGACAAGCAGGCGATGGGGAGGTAGAACCATGCCGAGGCAGCACGGGCGGCATCTCCCATGGCTTGCCGGCGAAGCACCTCCATGTATGGCTTTTGGGAGTCGCAGGAGGTGTTGAGGAAAGCGTAGATGTGCTTGCGGAGGCGTTCGCGGAAGTTGACCGTCTTGCCGACGTAGAAGTACGGGCGCCACGGGCTCCACATAATGTAGACGACGAACGAGGCGTCGAGCAAGGACTCGGAGGGCGGCCACGTGGACCGCGGGAGGGTGGTTGCAAGGATGCGGAGCCGGGCGTGGCGCTTGAACGTGGAGGCCATGAGGAAATGGGCAGCAAGACCAAAACCGGCACCTTGCAGCGCAAAGATGCTGCCCCACTTGAGGGGTCCCGTGTCAGAGTAGAGCATGTTCAGGTAGTCTTGAATGAGGCCGATGAGGGTGGAGACAACTAGGCGAATGTGCGGGGTCCGGGAGACACATGGCATCCCGTCACAATGCGCGTCCCAGATGCCGCTGGATGGACGGCCGCTGAGAGCGGCCGTAGTCAGTCACTGGCCGAGCTCGTCGCTGCGGGCCCGGACGGCCGCGACAAGCTTGACGACGTCCGTGAGGCGGGTGGCGTCGAACTTGGCCCCCATAGTCTCGACCGCCTTCTTGAAGGCTGCGCTGGCTTGTTGATTGGCTCTGCCCGGGGTCTTGGTGCGGCCGCCCGTGGATTTGGGGGCGAGCGCCTTGAGGGCGGTGTGGTAAGCCTTGAACTTGTTGCGGGGCTCCTGGGTGTCGTCGGACGTCACGTCAGTGTCCTCCAGGGCCCAGTCGAGGGACTTGGGTTGGCGGGCGTCGTGGAGCTTCGTGAAGGAGTAGTTCTGCAGGTCCCCCAGGGTGATGCTGACAGCGCCTGCCGCCGCGGCGTCTTGGGCAGCCGCGGTGGCGGGGCCCGGGGCCGCGGGACCGGGGGATCGCGCGAGGGCGCGGATGGGCGCGGCAGGCAGGAGGGCGGCCTCTTGCGAGCCTTCTTGAGCCTCGATGATGGCCTGGCCGTCGTCGACCATGCTGGCTGCGACCTTGGAGATCATGTCTGGGGGGGCGTCCTTCTTCATCGTGTATGGGGAGTTCCGGGTGGGCCATGTGAGAAAAACATTGAAGTTGTATGTGTCGGCATCCATGGGGACCAGTGGCGCGATCTTCTGGAAGTTCCGGCGGGCCTGGGACCTCATGACGTACGGGATGTACTCGCCTGGATTCTCAGTGAGGGCACTGCGCGTCTTGGCCGTGCAGAGAGCCTTGCAGCGACGCATCATCCCGGCATTGCATGCAATGCGGGCGTCCTTGAAGCGCGGGTCCTCCCAGGCGAGGTCTGGCTCAAAGCCAGGGGGGACGCCGTAGGCGACGTTGCGGATGGTGAGGGGCACCTCATCCTTGTCGAACACCAGCTTGCGAAGGTCCTCGTGACCCAGCCCACGAATCGCGCGGCGAACCCCTCCAAGGTGGAGTGGCCGTGGGTGGCGGGACCTGGCAGAGAGCGCTGCACGGCGAGGGGGCCCCCATACCCAGCTTGCTGCATGAGGCGGAGGAGCTGGCGCGCGACTGGATCGACGACTGCCTCGAGCCCAGGCGCGGGCATGGACTGGGGAGGCTGGCCAGCCAGAGGCGACGGTCCGCCGGGGGGCACCAGCGGGAAAGGGGCAGCCAGGGGCAGCAGTGGCGAGGCGGCTGGGTCGGGAGCGTGCCCGCGGGCGGTGTCGACGGTGCACCGCGACGGCGCCTGCGGGACACTGCGGCGACGGGGCCTGGAGCGGCCGTGGCGTCTTGGCGGGCTCCGGGAACGACCGCGGCGGCTGGTCGAGCGCCCAGCGCGCGCCTGGTACTGGCGCGAGGGGCGCCGTGAGGACTCCGGAAGGCCGAGCGCGTCGGTGAGGGACTCCGCCATGTCGAGCGCGGCGCAGTCCTTCCCGATGTGGTCGTGGTTGCCGCAGAAGGAGCAGAAGAGGCCCAGCGAGCGGCTGCGGGCGGCCATCGCGTGGCCACGGTCACAGAGGGTCCTTAAGCGGGATCCTGAGAAGGGCCACCTGAACCTGAACGCACTGCGGGGTGGGGGCGGGGTGGGGGCCCAGGAAAGCGGGGGGGGGGAAGGGGGCAGGCAAGGGGCCAGAGCGGGGACGGGGAAGAGAGGGGTGGGGGGGACAGAGACTGAAGTCAAACGTAGATTTGTGGCCCCAAGGGATCCTGGAGGTAGGTCTTCTCGATTGGTTGGCAGGGAGTGGGCACGACCGCATGAGTGCCACTACAGCACGGGTCGAGCCATCACCCTAGGTGGGCGGGGAGAGGGACACGACCGCACGAGTGCCACTACAGCACGGGTCGAACCGTCACCCTTGGTGCACTGCTGGGGTGGCCCAAGTGCCAAAATGTAAAGGCTGACTGACATTGGCAGGCACAATCAGCCGGCAGGGGAATAAATCCCGTTCGCGGCCCAAAGGAGGATAGATGTGGTGGGTGGCAATTGGTGCCTGGAATGGTAGGTGGTGGCACGAATGCCTTGAGATGGAGGTACGGGTCACCCCCCCCTACGGCAGTTTTCGTTGGCCGAGGGACCGTAGGGGGGTCCTCGGCCCCCTCCGGTGCCTATTGACGGCAAAATGGAAGGTTGACTGGTGGGAGCGGGAACCCTCGCAACCCCATTGATGGAAGCTGCGAGGGGTGTGAGGCCTAATGACGGTCCTCACCGACGAGGCCTATTGACGGTCCTCGCCGAAGGGAGGGGCGAGAGGGAGGGGGGCCACTCCGAGTGTCGATGCCGTCCGCGATGCCCGCGATGCCTCTCACTCCTGAGGCGGGATTCCTGCAAATGGGGGCCCACAAACCAGCAGACACAGTTTCGACTCCGAGACTGTGTATACGCCACACACCCGGGAACCTCCAGGACAATTTTTTTTCACTACATCGACGGACCAGTTTCCGGTCGGTCCCCTGGCGTTGCGTTTCAGCATCCGTCGGTGGCAAACCCAGATCCAGCCGCCAACTCGATCGATCGGCGTACCCCCTTTGAATTCCCGAGGCAACGGCGTACCCCCCTGAATTCCCGATGCAACGGCGTCCCCCTTTGAATTCCCGATGCAACGGGAAGGAGGGGGAGGAGGAGGAGGAGGAGGAGGAGGAGGAGGAGGAGGAGGAGGAGGAGGAGGAGGAGGAGGAAGAGGAGGAGGAGGAGGAGCAGATCTGGCGCGAGTGCCCAGTTTGCCCCCCCGCCCTCTCGCCCCTCCCCTCTCCTCGCTCCTCCCCGCCCCCTTTCCCTCCTCCCTCCTCCTCCGCTCTTGTCTTCCACGTGGCTTCGTCCGCTTGCCCCTCCTCCTGGTCCTCCTCGTGCTCCCTCTCGTCGTCGTCGTCGTCGTCGTCGTCGTCGTCGTCGTCGTCGTCGTCGACGCCTGGTCAGGATCGCCAGGACGGGCCGCAGCAGCGCCTGCGGCCGTCGGGCTTCGGCTTCGTGGTGATGGCCAGCGCCGACGCGGCGCGCCGCGCCCTGGCGGAGCCCGCCCACGAGGTGGCCGGGGTCTGCATCGAGGTGCGACGCTTCGAGAGGCCGCCAGGAGCTCGAAGATCCGCGGCGGGCGAGGGGGGGGAAGTGAGAAGGCGAAGGCCTTCTCAGAAGGCGGCGGGACTTCTCGGAAGCCCTCGCGCCTCCTGAGAGGTTTCTTGTGTCTTCGGGGAAGGCTTAGCAGGCTTCTCAGAAGGCTAAAGGACTTCCGAGCCTACTGAGAAGGCCTTCTCCTTCTCACTTTCCCCCCTCGCTCGTCGCCGATAAGAATCTGACGCTCGGGGGAATAAGCGCGATGACCACGGCCAAGGCGTTGCGGGATCTCGTCGGCGCCGATTTCTTGGTCATGGTCCATGCTGGCCGTCGCCGATCCGCGAGGATGATCCAGGAATCTGCCATGGCCAAGATGGACTAGGGACACGTAAGACTCGAGTACGCCGGTACTCGGACCTGCCAACGCATTTTGGCGGGCCCGTCCTTGATTTTGACGGTCCTGTTTTCGTGGGATGTTTGCAGCGGGAGGTCGCGTCAAATTTCGGACGGTGTCTCGTCATATTTCTGACGGCCCTCCCTGTCAGGCCAACGCGAACCCCCTGAACCCGAGTCTTACTCACCGAGCGCGTTCCACTGCTCGCAAAGTGCCTTCTCGCCGACGTCCGAAAGACACACGTCTGCCTCGATGCAGTGGATCATAGATCCCCCGCGTCGCATCCAGGCCGTCTGCGAGCAGCTGCCCTTTGCGAGCAGTGGAACGCGTTTGGCTGCCTACGCCCACCCGAATGGAGGCTTGGCTGGGCTCGGCACCGTTTCGCTTCCGCGCTCCGCCTTTCGGGCCAGACGAAAGGGGGGGATTGGGAAAGGAGGGATCACGAACTCTGCTGCGTGCAGCTGGTTTCGGCCCCACCGAGGGGCCCATGCCTCCATATATGGGTGCCTCCTGGCGCCGGGAGGCGCCGGGAAAATCAGCTACGTGAGCTGATTCTCAAATCCCCCCTTTGCTATCCCCCCCTTTTCGCCCGGCCCGAGCCAGAGTCTTGGCCACTGCTCCCTCCTCCCCTCCAGGCGTCCGGGTGTGCTCCAGAGAGGGCCCCTCGCCCTCGGCGCGGCCGGGGCCCTCGGCAAGGGCCCGCCCCGCCGGCGGAAGCCGACGGAAGGTGGTGGAAGTGCACGCAGACGTCCTGGCATCGATATCCCTGGGGGAGAGTTGATACCTCTCGCTTCGCGGGGTGCACGTCCGGAGCACGTGCAGTCCAGTCGTTGCGGGGCCTCTTGGGAGCTTCTTTGTGGCTGGGGCCTGGCACCGGGGAAGCCCTGGCAGGGGGACAGCGCGCACCGCCGGGGGATCGCCTCGCGGGGACGGCGTGCTCTCCGGAGACAGGTGCTGCACGCTGTCTCTCCAACGCCAGCGGTACAGGCCTCGGAAGAAACCAGCGAGCACTCATGGCCACATTCAGCTGTCAACGCCCCCCCCCAATGATCAGTGTTGGCGGTGGGTTGGATGAGTTGCACTTCGGCCGCAGTCTTCCCCGCGCGTGCCAACTCTGACGGTTTTTTTGGGGGCGGGGGAGTGTCCACGAATTGTTTCCCTCTACCGCCCCCTTCTTTCGGCTGCTACCTCTGCCTTGTCCCCTCCTCCAGCATGGTGGCACCATTCGCTACAACGGTACCCCCGTTTAGGCGGCCCTCCGCCAGCGCAGTTACTCTGCCTAGCCGCCGACGTAAAAATTGTTTCCCTCTGTCGCAGCTCCTCCGACGGGCGGGCACGGGCGGCTTCCTCCTCCCGAGGCGCCCCAGGGGGGGCTGCCCTGGCTGCCCGGCCGTCCTCTTCCCCGGAAGCACGCGCGGGGTGCTGCTGTGAACGCACGCTGCACTTCGGCACGCACTAGGTCGGATGAGGAAAGGAGAAGGAGGAGGAGGAGGAGGAGGAGGAGGAGGAGGATGAGGAGGAGGAGGAGGAGGAGGAGGAGGAGGAGGAACGAGGAGGAGGAGGAGGAGGAGGAGGAGGAGGCGGAGGAGGAGGAGGAGGAGGAGGAGGAGGAGGAGGAGGAGGAGAAGGAGCAGGAGGAGGAGGAGTAGGCGGAGGAGGAGGCGGAGGAGGAGGAGGCGGAGGAGGAGGATGAAAAGGATGATGATGGTGATGATTCTGCTGCTGCTGCTGTTGATGATGATGATGATGATGATGATGATGATGACCATGATGATCATGATGATGATGCTGCTGATGGTGATGGATGATGATGATGACGATGACGACGATGATGATGATGATGATGATGATGATGATGATGATGATGATGATGATGATGATGATGATGATGATGATGATGATGATGATGATTACGATGATGATGATGATGATGATGATGATGATGATGATGATGATGATGATGATGATGATGCTGATGATGATGACGATGATGATGCTGATGACCATGATGATCATGATGATGCTGCTGATGATGATGATGATGATGCTGATGATGATGATGATGATGATGATGAGGAGGAGGAGGAGGAGGTGGAGGAAGCAAATCGTGTGTTGCTAGAAGTGCCTCTGCCCAAGGTGCCTCCAGGATTGCCGAGGAGGCCCCCACGGCCTCCAGAGCACCCCTCACGAGGTCCAGAAGGCCCCAGGGGCTCCAACATCGGGCGAAATGCTGGGGGCACCTTGGGTCAGGGGCACCTGCAGCAGCCCCCAAAGTGTGTCCACTGGGCCGTTTCGGGATCTGCAAGGCTCCAAGCCGATACCGGCCCAGAGCCCGACGCGGGGCAGACGTGCGAGGTCGACCCACTCGGCCGAGACGCGTTTTCCGTGTAGCGGGCCGGGCACTCTGTCCAGAGCTATTTCCACGGGCCTGCAAGTCTGTTTCATCACGCGAGAGTTTCATTAGATCAGCTACTCCTGTTCTAGCCGACTCTCCCATCTCCTCCTCCTCCTCCTCCTCCTCCTCCTCCTCCTCCTCCTCTCCTCCTTATCTACGCCTTCATTTTCAGCTGTGGCTGCACCGCGAAGTGCCTTCGCGCCAGCGCACCCGAGTCGGTTTTCCGCTCTCATGGCTGCTCCTCCATCTCCTCCTCCTCCTCCTCCTCCTTCTCTTTCTTCCTTTCTCCTTCCTCCTCCTCCTTCTCCTCCTCCTCTTCTCCTCCTCCAACCTAGTGCGTGCCGAATGGCAGCGTGAGTTCATGCAGTGATGTAGTGAGGCAGATTGCACAGTCAGGACTCTATGAATGGCTCTGGTTCTGGTTCTCCTCCTCCTCCTCTTCCTCTCCCTCTCCTTTTCCTGTCGTGCCCGTGCCGAACTGGAGCTCACGCTGGCTCAAGGTCGACCCTCAAGCGCTCGCGCACCTGGGCTCTGGCGCGCCGGGTGGCACGCTGCAGTGAGGCGCAGCGCCGTCGGTAGCCGCGGCTCGCGCGCGAGGCTGCCCGCCGATGTGCGGGGACGCCCACGGTGCAGCGCTCGGCCGAGGTCGCCCGCGCGCGTGTGGCCGCGAGGGCGCGGCGCGGCGCGGGGGCGGAGCCGGGCAGCCTGCGCGGGGCCCAGCCGCCCGCGCGCCCGCGCGGCGCCTCGCGGCGCTCACGCGGCCCCCCAGGAGGGCAGGGCGCCCGCTGCGCGGCGCGGCCCGCGCCCTTGCACCTGGGCGGTCGGGGACAGGGCCGAAGCGGAGAGAGTGGTATCGGCGGCGGCGGCGGTGGGCGAGCACGCGACGGCTCAGGGCAGCGGGCGCACCGGCGGGGGCGGTCGGTCGGCCGAGCCGAGGGGATGGTGGCCTGCGGCTGGGTGGGGGGCAGGCGCCAGGGCCGGGGGCTGCCGGGGGCGGGGCCGAGTCGGGGAGATCGGCGGCGAGGGGTGGTGCGCGACGGAGGCGGGGGCAGTGGCGGGGACAGGACCAGGCCAAAGCTGCATCGGCGGCGGCGGAGGCTGAACGCCAGGGTTGGCGGACAGGGCCGAACGAGGAGGATCGGCGGCGAAGGCGGGCAAGCGCCATGGGTCCGGGGCAGGCGGGGACAGGGCCGAGCCAAGCAGATGGGAGGCGACGGATGGCGAGCGCCAGGGCCCAGGACTGTCGAGGACGTGGTCGAGCCGAAGATGTCGGCTGCGCCGAGGTGGGGACGGTCGGGGACGGCCGAACTGAAAGTCCTGCTGGCGACGGAATGCAGTTCTTTCCCATCGAAAGCGGGGCCGCTTCAGTGCAAGCGGTGTTGGAGCAAAACGAAGGCCGATGGAGTCGTCCCCTGTCCGTTTAGTGGGCGTGGTGCTCCAAGCCCTGGGCCTTCGAGGCTGATCGCCTCGAAGAGGCGGGTGCCGTGTGCTTGGGAGTTGGGTTTGGGGCGCCAGTATTTTTCCGTGGAAGTTTCGAGGCCAGAATGCCAATGTGCCCATCTGGAAAGTGGCGGGCAGCCTGAGGCTACATCGCCAGGCCTGTTCGCGGAATGCACCCTTGCCATATAGCATGCGGTTCTTCACTGAAGGCGCATTTTCGAGGTTTTGCGGAGGAAGGGTCATGCGGAGAAGCTTCGATCATTCATATTTTGACACCCGAGTGTTCTGGCCCTGCTTGAAGGTCACCCCCAAGCGCCAGCACTCTCCCATCCATTTTTGCTGCCTCACGCCTACTTGTACCTCTTTGGAGGGTAACCGCCTCTTCGGTATACGCTGTGGCTAGCCTTACGTGAGCGCCATGGAAGCTTCTCGCGCCCCCTGCCACCAGGCTCAGGCCTTGTGCTCTATGTGAAGGCTTTGGAATAGCCTCTGCGGAAGACATACAGCTGCCGCCATGCAGATCATTCAACATGCGTTTTTTTGGTGAGGTCAAGGCCACACACAATGGTGATGACAAGTCTCCTATTTCCAAGTCTCAGCTCGGGTTCGGCCGTCGGCGTCTTGAGAAGACACGCCATACATCACGCTGTCTTTACTGAAGTCGTCGGTGTCTTACTCTTGTGCCCAACTGGCGGAATACACAGGTATTTGGTCCAAGTGGCCGATGCCATGTGCAGTCTGGTCGTGCCTGGTGACAGAAGTTCGGGCAGAAGTCCGTTCCGATGCTGCACCTCGAGTCGGGTATGTCTTTGACCACAGCCAGGGGGGCACAGGGTCGTGCACCGGCCAACGTGTGGCGCATGTTCAGTGCCACGCTAGCGGTTGAATCTCCTGGTCCATTCGTCACGTCTAGCTCTCCGGGCATTCTCCCTGGGCCTGTGCAGCTTGAGGTGGGATGAATTTCGAGGTGCGCAGCGCACATACGTGGTCAATTCATACTCCCTGCGGGCACGGGCAGGAGCGACTGCCTGGGATTCGTGAATTCCAGCACAAGACAAAAAGCCCTCCGCTGGCGCCGATCATTGTTTGTAAGCCTCCTCTAGTCGGTATTCGGTTCCAATAGAGCGCTTGTTTCTCACCTTCTCTCCAACTTTCTCTGGGTGCTGCTAGGTGCATAAGTACCACAAAATCTCTGGGGTTCGTCGGAGCTCGGAGCTACGTGGAATCAATAATATGTGTCGTTCCACTTGCGCTGTCAACGGCACAGCTGTTCGTCGGGGTGTCCAGTCAGCGAAATGCGGTACAGCGCAGGCCTTATTAGCGCCCTCGCTCCCCCTGTCGCTGCCAAAAGCTGCTGCCACTTTTCCGCATCCCTGCGGGATCCAGCACTATTTACATGTATGTCTATGTGTGTGTGACACTGCCATGGGTCCCAGCATTGGCTTCTGTTTCAGACGGGAGGCCCACTGGCTTGGGCAGCTGGGCGTGATGCCGATAGTATTGTGTAGTATCCTTCGCTATCAATGCTTCGACGTCGTTGGCACCAGAGCTCAGCGCTCAAATTTCTCAGACGCTCAAGTCAAATATGGGAGGGTGTATATTCGACATCAGTACTTGTGTACAGCCGAAAACAACTGCGCAGTAACCGATCATCAACATACCGACCTGCATGGCGGACGTACAATTCAGTCGTTTGAGCGTCCATGTGTGGCAACTGTTTAATTCAATTTTCCACTCCTCCCCTTCACCATTATCATCCCTCCTGCTGCCACGGCTGCTGCTCCTCCTGCTCCAGCTCCTGCTTCTTCTTCTCTCCCCTCTCCTCCCTCCCTTCCCTCCCCTCCCCTCCCTCCCTCCCCTCCCTCTCTTTCCGTCCTCTCCTCCTCCTCCTCCTCCTCCTCCTACTCCTCCTCTTCTTCTCCTCTGACGGTCGTCTCCGACTCGTCCTTTTGCAGCCCCCTTTGATATGCATGGGCTTCCCGCTGGCCGTCGCCTCGCCATTTTTCAATCCAGGCCGCCCAGCTGCTGCCGGCCTCGTTTAGATCGGCAGGGATACCTCCAGAACGCCCGTCGGGCCGAGCCGTCCCCTGTCCACCCCGCCTTTCCCCTGGCCTGCCCTGCTGTTGGCCTGCGCCTGCGGGGAGGCCAGGACTGGCACGCAGCCGCGCGGTCCCTGGCAGGAACCCGCCAGCAAGATCCCCGCTCCTCCCCCCCCCGTCTTCATCTCTTTTCCGGGGAGGGGAGGAGCGGGGAGGGGGGGTAGTGTGAGGGAAGGAGTGTGAGGGTGAGGGAGGGAGTGAGAGAGGGAGGGAGGGAGGAGGAGGAAGAGGAGGAAGAGGAGGAGGAGGAGGAGAAGGAGGAGGACGAGGAGGAGGAGGAGGAGGAGGGGGAGGGGGAGGAGGAGGAGGAGGAGAGAGGGGAAACGGGGCTGGCGTATGTGTAGAGGGTTGGGACGGCGGGCGTTCTTGGGGGTCTCCAGCACACGTAACTCTAGCACGCACGGGTGAGCAACCTCTGAGAGTTGTAAGGGATTTGTAGACGCGACAGCGAGATTGAGGCTGCCGTATTTACGGTGTGCTCCTCGTTCCTGCCTGTAGGGTGCCTCTCGTTTTTTGAATGTATTTGTGCAGGGCAGTGGGAGCTCGCTTCGGCAAAATGTGCCCTTGCTGCTTGTGGTTGTCGTTCTCCTTTGTAGCCCCCTCTTCATCCTTTGCTCTCGTCGCTTGGTCCATCCTTTCCTGCCTGGTCCAGATGACCCAGACCCCCGATGTCGTATTTTCTCATAACGTGGTCGGTCTCCGGGGACGTTTTTTCATTCCAGGTATTTTTTAAGTCTAGTGCCCCCCAGAGCCCGAAAATAGCCAAGTACCTTCTGTTGCGATTTTGTCACGACCGCTGCACCTCGACCGTACTGCTGCGCGGCGTTTCTCGGGCCTCTCCACCTTACCTTGCTTCCAGCCTCCAGCCCGAGCGGGAGGAAAAGGCAGAGGGGGACGGACGTCAAGGCAGTGCTCGACTCGACTCGAGTACCTTGTGGAGCCGTGAGTTTGACGAGCTATTGAATGATGCTCAAACGAGCCTGTGGATTCATTCCTGGGATTCCCATGGCTTCCACAGGATTCCTGGGATTCCTATACGGGTTTCATGCGCATTTCCAGAGGATTCCTGAGGATTCCTTGGGCAGTCCCGTGGATTCCTGAGGAGCCCTTCGGGTTCCTGTGGGCCCCTGAAGATTCCTGGGGATTCCTAGGTATTCCTTTCACTTTCCCAGAGATTCTGGCGGGGTCCTAAGGGTTTCATATGCATTTCCAGAGGATTCCGGAGGATTCCTTGGGCATCTCTGTGGATTCCTGAGGAGTCCATCGGGCTCCTGTGGGCCCCTGAGCATTCCCAGGGATTCCGAGGGATTCCTGAAGTTTCCCAGCGGTTCTTGCAGAGTTCTGAGCAGTCACTGGGATTCCGGAGGATTCTTAAGAATTCCTGGTGATTCCTCGGGATTCGTGGAGAGTCCTAGGGATTCCACGGGATTCATCCGATCATCGTAAACGTCGACCAGCAATACCACCACTCCGTGGGATTCGTTCCCGCGACGTTCGAACCCTACGGGTTCGCACCGATGGACAGCCAGTTCTTCAGTGGCGGCCTGGTCCCTAAAATCACGGACAGCGGCCAAGCTCATGGCTTGACTTATGACTACGATATCGGATTGAAAATATCGAAAAGCGTGCAGTTCGCTTTCAACAACAGGCATCATCTGCGTCCGACGCTGCCAGCTTACGACCGCAAGTACATCAAAGCGTCGTCCTACGACAAAGGGTGCGCTGATCAACACTTCTCATACTGTGACGAGATTGAGCGAGGGCATCTCGTTGGCGGATACGTGCTTCACGGCGTCGACGAGCAGTACGACAGATTCTTCCGACCCGAGATTGCTTCCGTCCCGCATTCAAGATACGTCAACCAGACAGCCTACAAGATAATCGAGAGTGGCATATTCGATCGCCTTCTCGCGGAAGAAGTGCATGCCGTCATTTCGGCCTTGTGCGCCTGCGGAGGCTGCGGAGTCGTTGCGGCCGAAGTCGAATCGAAGAGAGTCCCAGCGCTTTATGCGCTGAAGGCAGATATCAACGAGATAACGCGTGCGGGCTTCATCGAGTTCTTCGGGGATCCTGTGCCGTTCTCCTTGTTGGACGACTTCTTCCTCGGTTATGAGTGCTACGATAGGCCGAATGCCGCGTGGAACGGCAAGACGTTCGGCCGAGGCTACATCCAAGGCCTCGAAGCGCTCTGCGGCGAGCACGTCAGCGTCATCGACAGTGGCACGTGGTGTGCGACCACGCAGATATGTGCGGTCTGCGCAAGCATGGCCATCGAAGACGACTTCGCGCGCAACTGCGCAGCGATGGTGGGAGAAACGGATGGACCTGGAGGTGCAGTCCTTAGCTTCAGCGAAGAGACAGACGCCGACTCTTACTGTGACGGAGTAAAGCTTCTTCCTGGAGTCCGCGTGTTCAGGCCCTGGAATTTGAGATCTAGAGATCCACTGCCAGGGCCCGCTGTCTGTGGACCCCCAACGGCAGCCTACGACGACGTTCGCGCCGGCGGCAATTTGTGCGCCGTTTGAGAAGTTGTTGCCAGCAAAACGACGGGGTTCTTCTACAAAGGATCCATCATCGCCTGCGGACTCAAAGCGTATCATCGTCGTTTCAAACCAAAGGATTGCGCGGTACGAAGGGATAATCGAACACTTTGGCGACATTGCAGTCTACGGCGACGGCCTCGCCGAATCAGATGACGTGAGCGACGGCAACAAGCTGTGCATCGTGAGTGACGGCGATGTGAGAAAGCGCATGATCGAATGTTGCAAGGTCGCCGATGGAGCGTTCAAAATCGGCGGCGGCGTCGCGTGCAAAGGAGCAAGTGGTTCCCCAATCTTCTGGTTCACCCCGGACGGCGTCTGCGCGGGAGTCGTCGGCATAGCGGCTCTCTTGCTAGCCGTCGACGCCAACAAAGGCAGGTGCGTCGTCGGTCATCGATTCGCCGTTGCAGACCTTGCCATAGTACAAGCCGTCGAAGCCGCTACAATTACGCGACGCGTCGACATGCGCGTTGATCCTGTTTGGGGAAAGACAAAAGCGCGCAGGCATCCTATGCTACTGGGCCGTGCGCTGGCGTCCGTCTGTGCCTCGCACCTGGCTGGCCAGCGCGGTTCAAAACCCCCCCCTCTCCCCCGGGCGCTGGCGCCGGCGCTGGCGGCCGCCGCAGCGCCAACGCAGCGACGATGACCAGAGGGAGCCCAGGGCCGGCGGGTTTCAACCCCCCCCCCCCGCGCGCCGGCGCCAACGCCGGCGATGGCGGCGGCCAGCAGCGCCGACGGCGGGGACGCAGCGACGATGACCAGAGAGGACCCAGAGGCCGCAGAGGGAACACACAAATCGTCATATCGAGCCCTCGCATGCTCTTCAGACGCCCCCGAGACCCTTCCGACGAGACGTCAAGAGGCACCCATTAGAACTCTGACCTTATACCAAAACACAGTGGCGGGAAGAGCCGATGGCCACACCACCACCACCGCCACCACAGACCACCATACCATCACCACCACCGCCACAACCACAACCACCACCACCGCAACCACCACAACCCACAATCACCACAACAACCACCATCACCACGAACCACCTCACCACCACCACCACCAAAAACGCAACCACCACCAGCACCACCACAACCCACCACAACCCACCACAACCACCACCACCACCACAAACCACCGCACCATTACCACTACCATCACCACCACCGCCACAACCATTTCCATCACCACAGCCCACTACCAACACCACCACCACAAACCACCACACCACCACCACAACCACCACCACCACCACCACCACCACCACCACCACCACCACCCACCACCCACCACCCACCACCCACCACCCACGACCCACCACCCACCACCCACCACCCACCACCCACCACCCACCACCCACCACCCACCACCCACCACCACCACCACTACCAGCAGCACCGCCACCACCACCAACACCACAGCCCACCACCATCACCGCAAACCACCACGCCACCACCACCACCACCGCCACCACCACGACCACCACCATCACCACCTCAACCCGCCGCCGCCACCACCAAACCACCACACAACCACCACCACTACAGCCAACACAACCACAACAGCTCACCACCACCACCACCAATACAACAACCCGCCGCCACTACCACCACCATCACCACAATCTACCCCATCACCACCGCCACCGCCACAACCACCACCACTACTACCAGCAGCACAACCCACCACCACAACCACCACAAACCACCGCACCACCACCACCGCCACTACCACCACCACCCGCACCCCTGCCGCCGCCGCCAGCCGCCGCCGACGCCGGCGCCGGCCCGAGGAGATGGAGAGGGGAGAAGTATGGGAAGGAAGGCAGGACGAACCCCAACAAAATATTAACCTGGGTTTATAATGTTCCGGGTTTATTGAATGGGGTTCAGAATGTCTCTCCCGGAACATTATGAACCTGGTTTTAATTGTTCTGGGATTATTGACTGGGGTTCATAATGTTCTCCCCGGAACATTATAAACCCTGGTTTATATCTTCCTGGGGCTACTGACCCCAAAAGCATATTAGCTAGGGTTTATAATGTTCTGGAACTGTTGACTGGGGTTCATAATATCTTGGGAATGATGAGCCAGGTTTATGTAACTCCGGAATGATAATAATTTTTATTTTCCCCCGGACCCCCGGGTGCTTCTCCGGGTTTTTCATGTCGGAGAATTGGCCCCAGGTCATTATCTCCAGAAGATAATAAACCAGGGTTTATAATGTTCCCATAATATTTACCCTGGGTGAATGATTCTGGGATGATAATGATTCCGCCGGGGGGGTGCTGCTGAAGAGTTCGCTCCGCACTGAGATTAACCCTAGTCTTTAATGTTGGACTAACAATCTTAGGTTGATTATTCTAGGTAGATAATGATTCAGCCGGGGGGGGGGGGGCTGAGTTCGATCCATCCACGGAACAGTAATCCATAGGGTATCATCTCAAGATCACACACCCGGGTTTATCATTCCTTGATGAGGAACCACGGTCGACGAGGATTTCGGGGGTGCCGTCAAGGAAGGGGGGGGGTCCAGTTCCACCCTCCCCCCCTTCCAAACGACCACAGAACGCGCTCTTTCGTAGTAGAAGAGTAGTCGTAGTGTTAGAAGTAGTAGTAGTAGTAGTAGTAGTAGTAGTAGTAGTAGTAGTAGTAGTAGTCGTGGTAGAAGTAGTAGTAGTAGTAGTAGTAGTAGTAGTAGTAGTAG